ATGTTTTTTCTTTTTGTACTAAAACCCTTTCTAAAGTTGATCTTACAATATTACACTGCACACACCAAAGATGGTTTTAACATTGCAACTGCTAAATGCTGAGTGAAAGCAACAGATGTGGTTAACCTTTTATAAAGGAGGCAAATGAAAGATTTGGAAAGAAAAACATTTCGTTAAGTAGTAAAAGCATTGTATCATTCCATTGCGAGCTTTGCTTCAGATAAGAGTGCATGTTGTATTTTAATTTTAGTTAAAAAGCATGTTTAAAAGCATGTTTATTGGCAAGTTGATATATGTTAGGATTTCTTTGCTCCCCAGGTAATAGGAATATTTCGGACCCTCTTTCTGCAATCTGTAAAGGCATAACTCACGCTATTGTACAGTGACTCAATACATAGTACTTCATATTGGACCAAATATTAATTCAATTAAAAGTGAGTAAATAACCCTATATGCTGATTCCATAGCGAACTGAGCTGACACTCAATCATACAAACTCCAAGAGCTGCATTTTACAAAATGTTGTGGTCACCTTTTAAAAAGCCAGTAGTCGCATTGAATGCAAGGCTATAAGTTAGAAACGTTGCTTATGATGGACAAATTATTCTCTTATAGGAACTGTGGTTCTAAAACAGTTTATACCAACAGAAAACCTGCTTCAAAGTTTATTGTGTATTGGGAATTCTACTGAAACGGATGCAACTGATGTATTTATTGAAGGCAAACTCTGCAATTCTTTCTTGGGTGATCACTGTTTTATACAGAAACCCTGAAGCATCCTAACTTTCAATATGCTTGGCTTCATATTTTTGACACCAACTTTTTAAAATGTGTGACAAACACGTAGAAAGACAGACACAACTGTTCAGGAAGAGACAATGCTACAAATAATGAGGGATTCATTTCTCTGACACATATAATGATATCTCTAACCCTGGCTGAAAGTTGAAGCATTTATTTTGGTTTAAGAATTTATAGCAGCGAAGAGTGAGATTACCCTAGGGATCCCGGTCAGCAGGTTCTCTGCACTTGGAATTCTCTTGGACCTCAGAGGGAATGCTGAGTGAAGGGCAGAATCAGGCCTAGTGTTTCTATGGAAGGAAGTTAAATGGCTCTTTAAAAAACAACATTCCTTAACATGAGCTAGACTACAGAAATATTTGGGGTATCCCTACATATTTTAGGAAAGAAACATATTTCAATAATTGTAAGTGGTTTTAACCCTTCTCTATAGTTTCAGTAACTAAATATGTGTTGCTCTTGAGCTATTTTGTTTTTCTTTTGTCCTTCCATATCAATACTATAGCATATGTGGGGTCTGGTCTTGTGAGTCTCTTTGAAAAGGTGTTGAATTACTTTCAGTTCTCATTGATTTCGGTGGGAGTTGAAGGCCCTGAGTTTCTTTCAGGCTTGATCCCTGGTGTGTGCGTGTGCGTGTGCACGTGTGTGTGTGTGTGCACTTGTGTGTGAGAGATCACAAATTAGAGATAACTTGAAACTTGATGCGAGTGTTTAATAAGACATACAAAAAACTAGAACTCTTGGTTCCAAAATGATCCCTTTTATTAGACCAACTGGGAACTCATAAGAAATCACAAGAAAGCTTGCAGAAAAGGACAATTTTCTTGTGAGTTCCCAGTTGGTCCAATAAAAGGTATCATTTTGAAACCAAGAGTTCTAGTTTTTTGTATGTCTTCTTGTTTCAGACCAACACGGCTACCAAGCATTTAATAATGTATATATGAATATACATGTAATGTTCTTATACAATTTTACACCCAAAACCACAAATATGCAGACACAGACGCTCATACATACACATGCATGCGCCCATGCCTGCACATGTGTCCACACATTTACAAATATATAACAGGCCAGGGCCTCCAGCTTCATGGTAAAACTGTTGGTTTCCCTTACACTTTCTTAGCCAAAAATGTCATCTGAAGATCATCCCTGCTTTATACTTGTTACTGACAATTTAATTTTGCTGTTAAGTCATTTGGGATTATGAAGTCAAAAGAAGTTTGTGCTCTTTCTGATGCCAATGGGAGCTTTAACACTATGAGAGCAAAAGAAAGCTGATGGCTATTAATCCATTATAACTATTATAAACCTGAAACTTAAATAGTATTTGAAAATATATTCTTTGAACTTGGTTTCATTTTCATGCATTGTGGTAGATGGTGAGGCTGAAATCATACATCTGTAAACCAGTTACACATACCAATCTGACCAATGGTAACGTGACTCAGTCCAACCTATGTATGAAGACTGTGTTCTGAAAGGCTGTATGCGTATATGAACTTTCACATACACACAGGTATAACCCTATGTAAATTATACGTTACCCCTTAAACTTCTACCACAAGGGTACAGTAGCTTAAGCATTGGATGTAAATATTTATTGTCTGATTTTTCAGAATATCGCTTGCAAAACGAATACCATGGCATGAACCGCTTCTGTGTAGTAACATGACTTCATGTATAAATGACATACCTTTATGTATAAATTAACAATTGCTTGCACACATTTCTATTTGTATATGCATACTCTTGATCTGCATAGGTAAAATCAATAATTAGCCCCACAGCACATTTTTTTTCCCCCAAATCAGTCCCTTAATCACATACGTGTAAGAAAATTTTCAGAAAATTGACTAATAACTAGTCTTATAAGAAGTGATTTATTGAGTACCTTTAAAAGGTGGCTTCACTGACTTGCACCTTAGGGCTAAGTGCAGAGGTTCAAAAAGCCCAAGGCAGAATCGGTTCATTCTTCATGGGTTTTTCTAAGCTGGGTAGCTTAAACCAATAACAAACTGAATTGATGTGTAGTGTTTGGGTGGCCAAGACAGGCAGAAGCCTGGCTGGCCCAGGCCTGGAGGCTCGGGGCACTCTTGCACACCACTTCTCGCGGCCAGCTGCCTAAGGCTGCTAAACCCAGCCCAGTGGCAGCCCAGGCCTGTTTTGGATGCTTGATCCATGCCCCCATCCCCCCACCCCCTTGCTATCAGCTACAGAGAGGGGAGAGCCAGCAGAAAATTTCTCCCCAGCCCCCACCTCTGAGACAGGGGTAGGGAAGAGAATATACCACCCGGTCCTGGCTCCCCAACTTGGGTCTGCTTGGTGGGAGAAGCCCTCATGTTGGGGGGGGGGGGTCTCCCACCACAGCCTGGCTAGCTGGGCTACAATTGGCTCAGCTCCCCACTCCCTCCACAGGCCCCTGCCTGTCAGAGAGGGTGGGGGGAATGCCTCCCAGCATTGCCCCCCACCCCCCCGCCCGATTCTGCTTGGCATGGGGGAAAGACTCCATGGGGGTTTTTTGCTTTCCTACAGCCCAGCTCACAGGGTTGGGATCAGCTCAGCCCTACTCCCTCCAAGCCCTCTCCTGTCAAAGATGGGGGACTGGAGAGCTAAAGCATAGGGCCAGCTGGACATGGCATTGGGCCCCCCAGCCAAAGTCTGCCCAGTGCAGTGGCAGGGAAGCCCCCACCTGGGGCTTTTCACTCCCCCACAGCCTAGCTTGTAGGGCTGGGACCAGCTCAGCCCCATCCCCTCCTGGCCGCTCAGCCCCACCCCTCAGCCTGGGTCTGCCCATCACGGGGTAGTGAAACCCCCACCAGGGGCTTTTCATAACTCCACAACCTGGTGAGCCAGGCTAGGATCAGCTCAGCCCCACCTGCTCCCTGGGAGGGGATGGAGCTGATCCCCACCTGGCTCACCAGGCTGCAGGGTTAGGAAAAGCTCTCAGTGGGGGCATTTACTGCCTCCTGCCAGGCAGACCCTGGATAGGGGTGTCCAGTGTCCAGTTGGGCTGCTGCGTTTTCACCCCCACCCCCACACCACACCTCTCATAGGAGGGGCTGGAGAGGGGGCACAGCTTAGCTGATCCCAGCCCAGTGAGCTGGGGTGTAGAGGAGTGAAAAGCTCCCAAGGGGGGCTTCCTTCCCATACCCCCCACATCAGGCAGACCCCTGCCGGGGGGGGGGGGGGCGGGGGCGGGGGGGG